TCTGGTGTCTAAGTTCAGTAGCATTATCTTTAACTGCTGGTAGGATTGTTCTGGTGTCTAAGTTCAGTAGCATTATCTTTAACTGCTCGTAGGATTGTTCTGGTGTCTAAGTTCAGTAGCATTATCTTTAACTGCTCGTAGGATTGTTCTGGTGTCTTTAAGTTCAGTAACATTATCTTTACCTGCTCGTAGGATTGTTCTAGTGTCTTTAAGTTCAGTAACATTATCTTTAACTGCTGGTAGGATTGTTCTGGTGTCTTTAAGTTCAGTAGCATTATCTTTAACTGCTGGTAGGATTGTTCTGGTGTCTTTAAGTTCAGTAGCATTATCTTTAACTGCTGATAGGATTGATCTGGTAGGTTTTTATTATAATAGGGTTTATATTTCATTACTTTCTGGGTTGGTTAATTTATTTTGGTTCTGAATTCGTTTTATTTATTTGGTAGGCTTTATGTTGTATCTTTCCTAATTGTAGTTATATCTAGGGTGAGAATTGCACCGTGTGTTAGGGTAAAATTTCATCCATTATTTAGTACACTTTCTTCAGCTTCTGCTGATATTTTCTTACTTAAGTTCATTAGGGGTTTACAGACATTTTGCAAAACAAAAGTCCAGGCCTTTCCCAAACTTTTCCATGACCCTCCAATCCTATCAAGAACTCATATTTTCATTCACCAGGCTCATGGTCACATGAGGGTCAATATTCAAACACAAAATATAAAAAATCTTGGGTCTTGTGAGGTACAAGATTCACACACAAAATATAAAAAATCTTGGGTCTTGTGAGGTACAAGATTCACACACAAAATACAAAGTCTTAGGTCTTGTGAGGTACAGGATTCACACATTAAATATAAGGAGTCTTAGGCCTTTTGAGGTACAAAATTCATACATAAAATATAAACAGTCTTGGGTCTTGTGAGGTACAGGACTCACATACAAAATATACCCAGTCTTGGGTCTTGTGAGGTACAAGATTCACATACAAAATATAAACAGTCTTGGGTCTTGTGAGGTACAGGATTCACATACAAAATGTACCCAGTCTTGGGTCTTTTGAGGTACAAGATTTATATACAAAATATAAACAGTCTTGGGTCTTGTGAGGTACAAGATTCATACATAAAATATAAACAGTCTTGGGTCTTTTGAGGTACAAGATTTACACACAAAATATAAACAGTCTTGGGTCTTGTGAGGTACAGATTCACACACAAAATATAAACAGTCTTGGGTCTTGTGAGGTACAGGATTCACACAGAAAATAAACAGTGTCAGGTCTTATGGGACAACAAGATTCACAATGACTAATATGAAATATAGACACAGTTTCCAATATGAAATGTACATAAAACTGATTCTACTATTCAAACTTTTGCTTGCTAGTTTAATTCATTTTTTGAATAAAGCCAAGTATTTCATAAAGTATTTTTCATTACAACTAAAATTTCAGGATTTTTCAAGGACCATGACATAAAACTTGTTTTCCAGGATTTTCAGTACTGAAATGTTTCAGGATTTCAAGGATCTGTGCATACACTGTTTATTACTTTAAATTTAAGTGTGTGACTGCATTGTTAAGAAGCTTACTGTTTGAGAATCAATGATTGTATTTAATTTCTCTGCATTAACTTCCTTAGTATGTGACTGTAAACCTTTCTATCAGGAAAAAACCAGGACCAAATCTTGACTTTGAAGCTGTGAAAACATAGGATACTAACTAGAGAGTAATTTGTGTCTAGTAATTACAAAAATGTAACATACATGTTGTGTCCTAACGACTGATATCCGTTTACCACAATTTTCTGTAACCATTTATTTCTACTAAAACTAGTATGTATCACATAGATGAGACCATTATAGCTATCAAGTTAAAGATATGTACATATAAATCTCAAATGTCTTGATTTGTAAATTGATTAAATGGAAAATAATTGTGATATTGTAAAAATGTATAACAACTAAGTTTTGATGTCCAAAACACTCAGACTTTTATTTTTTAAGGCTCTAAACTACTAGTGAAGTGAGTTTACCATCATCAAGTATCACTGAACTTATGAAATGTGATATCCTCAGGAGTTCAAATAAATACTCTCTCTACCTCTTTACATCTTCACAGATCAAAATACAATGACGAAAACAAAAGTATCTAAGTATGACTTACTTCCTTCTCGTAGGATAGGAGATTCCAAGATCAGTTCCATCAGCAAAGGAAGGTAAAGTCGTAAATCAGCTGTTACCATGCTGGTGTCCATCAGAACAAACATCTAATGAGAAAAATTAATTTAGTAGTATAGTTGTAATAAGAACAGCTGGTTTTATAATAACTGAAAGTCAAATGATGCCAGAAGTCCAATATCTTGGCACATCAAAACAGAATTTTAGACTTTCATTGTGTGTTACCACCACAAAGCAATTAAAAGAAACATTTTTTACAGGTAAAAAGCATTAAAGTTTCAAGGTTTTTAGTTTTTAAAAATAAGCAATATCTCAGGAAATGATAATATAGAAATATACACTATGATTGCTGTCTGTAAAAATAACTGATGTTAAGAAAATCTCAATGTCAACAGTGTAGAGGAGGTGTAGGAAGATTTCCTATAAAAGTTGATGTGTGAATTAAAAATATATAAAATACTTTAATTTATTTTCTTCATTGTGAAAGAAATATTGGTTTAATATTAAGATATACTCTAAAACCCATATTGATTTAACAATTAATCCAAATTTTCATCAAATATAAACTATATGATAGATTTGCTTTAAACATGTAAAAAACAAATTAAGACCAAAAATATGATTGCAGGAATATAGCTAGCAATGAGGCTTACAAATATAATATAATGGTGGAATAATGTTCCTCACAAATGTTGCCCTATCAAAAGTGATTTTCATTACTATATGAAGTTTTAAAATATATGTAAAAGTAACCAGACAATATAAAAATGCTCATAATATTTTAAAGTTACTACAGTAAGCCATAGATGATGAATTTAAGAACTTCAGCAGGGTACAAGAACCACTTTAAGGAATATAGTCCTGGCTTTGATTAGGCTTAATGATGGTAGACAACAAGTTTTTACAACCAAATATGTGATTAAATGACTTAATGGTGGTACACTACAAGTGTTTACAATGAAATGTGTGGTTAAAAAACTTAATGTTGATCGATTACAAGTGTTTACAACCAAATACATCATTAAAATACTTGTACTTGTAAACTACAAGTTCTTACAACCAAATGTGTGATTAAAAGACTTAACAGTAGTAAGTACAAGTGTTTACAACCAGATATGTAATTAAAAGCCTTAATGGTGTTAGATTACAAGTACTGACCACCCAATATGTGATTAAAAGATTTAATGGTGGTAAACTACAAGTGCTTACAACCAAATATGTGATTAAATGACTGAATGGTGGTACACTACAAGTGTTTAAAATGAAATGTGTGATTAAGAGACTTACTGGTTGTAGTTTACAAGTGTTTACAATGAAATGTGTGATTAAAAACCTTAATGTTGTTTGATTACAAGTGTTTACAACCAAATACATCATTAAAATACTTATACTTCTGGACTACAAGTGCTTACAACCAAATATGTGATTAAATGACTGAATGGTGGTACACTACAAGTGTTTAAAATGAAATGTGTGATTAAGAGACTTACTGGTTGTAGTTTACAAGTGTTTACAATGAAATGT